AGTACTACAACACACAATCTGACCCTCCATAAACTACAATATTCATAGAATCAATCAGCCCAACCTAACAGTCTTTAGAACATTACAACTTGCACCTCAAACATATATAAATGTGTATACCATTACAATCTTCCATAATTCAACAATCACAAGGCCACAACATCACTCATGAATGTCATAATACAAGGATGAAATGCGATGCAATGTAGTGCAATGTCATATAAAGTGATGCATGTTTGTTCTAATGATACCCACCCACTGAATCTCAGTCTTGAACTCATAGGGGACATATCTGTCATGCAATCGTCACAACGTACGAAACAATCCTCGATATTAAGGAATCTGTCACGGCGTGCAACACATCCCTCGAAATCATAGTATACATCGCAGTATGCGACACGACCCTCAATATAATAAAATTTGTCATGACGTGTGATACGTCCCTTGAAATGATACATCCTCTTGTTGTTTTCTTATTTTTCAACAACATCATATAGTGCCCATCAAAACAATTAATGCCTCAGTTCCAATACAAATAGGCATGTACAAATACTCAATGAAAGAATAAAATTGCAACACCAACAACCAATCACATTAATCAAGCCACTTCATCAAGGTGAATTAACATAATCATCCAAGTATTCAAGGCACATCATACAATAGTATAACAATAATTTCCTTTTTGCAACAATTAATGCCTCAATTCCAATACAAATAGGCATGTACAAATAGTCAATGAAAGAATAAAATTGCAACATCAACAACCAATCACAACTAATCAAGCCACTTCATCAAGGTGAATTAACATAACCATCCAAGTATTCAAGGCACATCATACAATAGTATAACAATAATTTCCTTTTTGCACAACAATGTCAACACTAGAATTCATTCAATATTTATCAAGAACAAGAATATTACTAATCCTTTCATCAATTTTCATTACTCCCATTTACACAACAAGACATACCAGGTTTAACACACTTAACGAAGGGTCAAGAGGCCCACTTGCCTTAAGGGGGAGAAATCAAATCGAAACTTGAGCATTTCCTTCACGTCAATCCACATAATCTACACCAAATAATCAAATATATAGAATAGAAAATATGAACAATGACACAATAATGTTGATTTTAAACATCAAGTTCGAAACAATCCAAAAGGTCAATTCTGAGCGCCAAGGATAAATTTGGATTTTTTTTAATGAAAAATCATAATACCCAAAGGTTTTGAAACTCACAAGTGAAATCATAAAGAAAGATGGGTTGAAATCATGGTCAAAACTCTAATTTACTTAAAACACAAGTTCATAAGAAAAACCCCCAATACTCGGGTTCGAAAGCTCAATTAAAATTTAAAATATTTCTTGAAAATATCTTATCCATTAGGGAAGTTCAAATATGAAATTTTATTCTAAAATGGAGTCAAACCTTGAAATACTCAATTTATCAAACTTTAACTTTAACGGGAAAAGCTCAAATTCACATGCTTATACGCGGTTAATATGAAGAAAATAATTGATGAATCAACAAGTTATGTTAATGCCAAAAATCAGTGTATCCATAACATAAAGATCGTAAATATATATTTTTCATAGAAAACTGAATTCAAATCGATAAAATCTCAGTTTTCCCCAAGAACTTAACAAATAAGGAAAGAAAATCAAATGAAGAAATCATGGGAGAACGCCTAAATGAGGATTGGATACCAATCCCTATAGTAAATCTAAAAGAATGACGCAAGAATCATTCCATTCTGGGCTCTAGAACTCTCAATATGCTCAAAATACCAAATGAACATAGTCTGAAATTTTAAATACATGAACAACAATATTTATACTTGAAATCAGTAACTTAAATTTTTCACTAAAAGAGTCATAACTTCCTCATACGATAGTGAACTGACCCAATTGTTTTCCGTAAATGTCTTAAATAATGATATGAACTTGCATGTTCAATCGAAACTCAATTTTGTGTTCGTTTGTCCAATCAAATAATATTATTTCAGCTCGGTAAATAATTATTTCATATATATCGCGATAAAAATTCAATATCATTTTAGCGTAAATGCACCAACATTTGAAGATCAACCCTATAATTCATGATCAAACTTTCAGAATAATTTTTCGATCTTTAAAACTAATAACGTTTCTTTTAGTTGGCACAAATTGCTAAAACAACGTCATAGCACCTAAAAAGCTTAGAAACTCACCCAAAACTCATCTGGAACCTCCCGAACACAAACAAAATATGCTACTAGCTTGAAAATGATATTTGGACTCAATGAAATCATCAAAACTCCCAAACACGGTCACCTTAACCCGATGTTGACTAAAGTGAACTTTAACTTAAGAATCTCCAAATTTCCAAATAAGAACATGAAATTCATCCAAAAGCTTTAGGAACTGAACTAAACCTTTAATTAGACCAAATATCACCAATCAGACCTAGTGGAATCATCAAAACTCGAAAATGACCTTTCTAACCTCAAATGTTGACTAACTCAAACTTTAGCCTTAACTTTTTCTGCATCTTGTCTAATGACTCAAATTCAAACCAAAAGCCTTGAGACCCAAACCAATAGTACATCTAGATCAAAAATCACGTTCTGGAGTTGATGGCAACTGACGAAATTCCATTTTGAGACTCAACTCCAAATGTTGACTAAAGTCAACCATTTCAACTTAAAAGCTTTCGAAACTCCAATACATTCAAAAAAATCTCAACTTTTCGATCTGGTTTCTAATCTAACCTCAAAAGTTGATCAAACATGACTCGAGGCAACTATCAGGATATAGGTAAAATGATAATTTTTCAGAAAATTCTGAAAATGACCTTCAAGATCATTACAATTTAAACTTAATAGTCGAATGAAATGTGATAGAATTTTAAATCTCAATTTATAATATTAAAAATCCAAATTTCATATTTGTTGATAATGATGACATTGTTTTAATTTAAGCACACTTCTTAAGAAATCACTCATCCCTTCACTAAATGTTCTTTATTTTTAATAAGATCAATTTAATTTAATTTTCTTATTATATACCAAAATAATTTACTTATCTAAATAAGGTTAACTCGGGTGAGCTGAGCTCAATAGATTACAGCGGCTCATGTAGCTCAGTTAGTGAGTTGTCCAAAGGTTCAAATTTCAATACTTTATAACAATTATTTTTAGAATAATATTTTATTACAACGATTAAGATTTATTTGAAATAGATCATTTATGTCATGTTATATTAGTATATATTTCTATAATAATAAAATAAATTCGATATGATCTCAATATAAACAGATTTGATTATGCAACAAAAGTAAAATGTGGGTCTTCATTTACATGATATATTACTATGTCTAATTTAAAAACATTGCATAGTCCTTTTAGAATTTGGTTTTTATTTAGGACCTACTTCTTTGAAGTGTAATTAATCATAGTATATCATATATTACTAAAAGTGGGAAGCTCCCACCTTCAAAGTTGGATTAACATTTTGTCCCTCCATTAAATTAAAATGTTATAAATTATTTAATTAATTAAATAGAAAATAGTAAAATTACAATTCACTCAAGGCTTAATTACATGTTTCTGGTTCAAAAACAAAATTCTACATATTTAGATAAATAAAACGTCAAAACATTTCAAATTTTTGGATACATTAAATTATTAAAACAAAATGTTCTAAAATATAATTAAATACTAAATAGTAAAATAATGCTCCTTAAATGTGATAAATATTGAATTACATGTCCTTCAAAAAATAGTCTTCTTTATTATATATATAAAAAAAATTTAAAACGTGGGACTCAAATAGTAATTACAACCATGAAAAGACATTTCCCGTCTTAATCCTTTTTAAATAATAATTTCTTCCGTTTTACAAGATTTCCAAAATTAGTTTATATATTTCTGGAATGATTATAAATAATTAAAAATAAATAATAGGTATATAATTTAATAAAATAATTACTAAAAATACTTAAAGTAGCTTATGACTTTATATGATTTTTCTATGGCACTAATATTACAAGTTGAAGATTACTTTAAAGAAATAAAATAATTTCAGGAAGAGTCTTTATCACTACCCCATTAACTACACATACGTACAATGTATGTTATTTATTTATGTCATTTATTAAATTAATAAGTTTATGTTATCTTGAGATCATAGTTATAATTATTTTTTTTTGGAGAAGTTAAGAAATTGAAGAGTTGTCTTTTCATTATTCAATACAGACGGTTATATTTGCCAATTTCCTTCATATATCAGCTCACACTTTTACTTTACTCTTCTTTTACTCAACAGGTTTCCTGATTCATGTTTAGGTGAGCATTTTCTACTTATCTTTGTTTCACTTCCTCTTATTTCAATTTTACATTTTTAATTCCAATTTGTTGATATTATTTTTCCTAATTTTGTTTTTCCTTTTGTTTAATAGAAGTTGTGTGGAATCCATAGTATAATGCAGAAAAGAAAATTGACTTTATAGTGTATTGAATTATAAATATAATTGTTGCTATGCATTTCAAGCTTTCTTTATACACGGTTGATGTATATATTGAACGTTTCTCAATGAATTGTAGGGATTATTTCAATGTATGATTGATTAAACTCATGAGAAATACATATTTTTATTATGCTTATAGTTTGAAATTTGAGGGTATCTGTTTTGATTTCTTATCTTATACATGTTTTTCAATTTATATTGCAATCAAATGTTTTTTTTTTTTTTAAATGTACACATAAATTTATCACTATAGATATATATTATGCAAACATATAATATGAGATACACGTGCACGCACGTGTTAAGATACTAGTGTTTTATAAAAAGAGAATAAAATATGAAAGTGTGTAGCTATTTGGGAAAATGAGGTCCAGATCGTCTGGATGGCACATACGTTGACTACAGACTCTTTTAAGTCTTTGTTGATACTGTTATGTTGTTCCACAAGACAATTTTTGGTTGCTCTGCTGCAAATAACACTATCTGAAAAAAATGGCAGAAGTGCTGCTAAGTGCTTCAGTTGAGGTTTTACTTCAAAAGTTACTTTTGCTTGCAACAAGTGGTAATAGTCATTTGTGGGGTTCCAAGAAAGAATTGGAAAAGCTGAGGAGATGCTTAGCTATAGCTAGAGCAGTTTTACATGATGCTGAGAGGCAACAGAGGAAGGACCAAGCAGTTAAGCTTTGGCTGAAGAAACTTGAAGACTTAGCTTATGATGCTGATAATTTGTTGGATGAGCTCAATTACACAACACTCAAGAAAAGTGAGTGGAAGGTATGTTTTGTTTTATCACTACCAAATCCACTTTCTTGTAAAATGAGGGCCAAAATCAGGGAGATCATTGTGAACCTGAAAATGATTAATGAGGAAGCCAATGACTTTGCTATCCCAAGGGGAGTTCAGGATGGAATTGATCATATCAACCATAAGGAGACTGACTGTTTCCATGGTGATTCCAATATTGTTGGAAGGGAAGATGATGTTTCAACAATGATTGAATCCCTAATTTGTCAGACCAACCAAGTAGTTGCAGTTTTCCCTATAGTAGGCATGGGTGGGCTAGGTAAAACTACATTGGCTCGATTGATATACAACGATGAACAAATAGTTAGATATTTTGATGAGAGAATATGGGTCTGTGTATCTGAGATTTTTGATGTGAACAAAATTATTAGACTGGTTTTAGAATCATTAACACAGAGAAGTATTGATGTGCAAAGTAGGAATGCTTTACTTCAAATCCTTCACAAGGAACTAGGTGGCAGAAAATACTTGCTCGTTCTCGATGATGTTTGGAATGAAAAGCTTGAGGAGTGGGATGATTTTAAAAGGTCCTTAGTTGGCATTAATGCAACAAAGGGAAATGCCATTATCGTGACTACTCGAAGTGAACGAGTGGCATCCATAGTAGCAACACATCATCTTCATTTCTTGGAGAAATTATCAGAAGATGACTGTTGGTCTGTGTTCAAAGAAAGAGCATTTCCAGAAGGAGATGTGCCAATGGAATTGGTACCAATTGGTAAACAAATTGCGCACAAGTGTAGTGGTTTGCCTTTAGCAGCTAACTTGCTTGGAGGAATGTTGCGTCTCACGAAAGAAACCAGTGAGTGGTCATCAGTTTGAGAAATGGCCTCTGGAACTTAAACGGGGATGAAAATGCAGTCTTGCAAGTGCTGAAGCTGAGTTTTGATCATTTGCCATCAACATCTGTCAAGAAGTGTTTCGCCTATTGTTCAATTTTCAGTCGGGATCATGACATTGAAAAGGATCAACTGGTACAATTATGGATGGCCGAAGGATTTCTCCAACTGAGTCAAGGAGATCATTTGAAAATGGAAAGCTTGGGAAATGAGTTCTTCAACATTTTGTTGCAAAATTCCCTATTGCAGGATGTAAAAAGAGATGACTATGGTAACATTACCCATTGTAAGATGCACAGCCTTGTTCATGCCCTTGCTCAATCAATTTCGAGATATGAAGGATTTAATGTAGGGTGCAGTACAGAAGATGGCCATCCACATGTTCGGTATCTTTCAATGAAGTCCTTAAGGGAATCAATGCCTTCAGTTGTCAAGGAAAAAGCAAGATCTTTACGCACCTTGTTTTAAGCAGATAATGTTTCTGGGAGCATGTTATCAAACTTCAAGTATTTGCGTGTATTAAGTTTCCATGGTGTTGATGTTGCTGAGGTACCCTCATCAATCAGCAAGCTAATACATTTAAGATATCTTGATCTATCAGGCACCAAAATTCGAGCTTTGGCAGATTCACTTTGCATGCTTTTTAATCTACAGACTTTAAGATTAAATGGATGTGACTTTCTTGAGAGTATTCCAAGTCAGTTGAGCAAGTTGAATAACTTGAGACACCTACACTATTATTCATTCGATGCAACTTGTCTAATGCCATTCAAGATGGGACAATTAACTTGTCTGCAAACATTGCAATTCTTCAATGTTGGTTATGCTGATGGTCAGCAAATTGCTGAGATTGGATTTTTGAAGGAACTTGGAGGGGATCTTGAAATAAGAAATCTTGAGAAAGTAAATAACCAGCAAGAAGCTCGAAGTGCAGATCTGTGTAGAAAGGAAAATATTTATAAGTTAGTATTTCAATGGAGCAGTGGGAGGCAAGACATAGTCAATGATGATTCTGTCTTGGGAGGCCTTGAACCTCATCCAAATTTGAAAAGCTTGACAGTCCAGAACTTCATGGGTGACAAGTTACCTACATGGATTATGACAATGATGGTCAGTACTATTGAGGGGCACTTACTGGGACTCGACAATCTGGTGGAGATCAAATTAAAAGGTTGTAGAAAGTGTGAAGAACTACCAATGCTTGGGCACCTACCGCATCTCAAATATCTAGACCTCACTGGACTGGATAATTTGAAAAGCATAAGTCGTTCCTTTTATGGTAGAGACTTTCTCAGATCAAGAACCTATCAAGGTGATAATACAAATATCGCATCATTCAGATCACTAAAGAGACTCGTTTTCTGCAACATGCCCAACTTAGTTGAGTGGACTGAACCAGAAGAGGTGACAACAGAGAAGGTGTTCCCTCACTTGGAGGAAATAGAAATACACAACTGTTCACAAATAACTACCACTCCATGTTCTTTCCCCAGCCTGGAGGAATTGAGGATTTCAAATGTTAGCAGTTACCAGCCGTTGGAAAATATATGCAGTAGTGATAACTCATCAGGTCTTACATTCCTACATATTGATGGCTTGCTGGAGCTTGCTTGCCTTCCAGACAATCTTCTTAACAATATTAAGAATCTGGTATATCTGGCTATATATAAATGCCCTAATTTGGTGCATGTTGTTCCACGTGTGAGGGGTTTTGGTTCCTTTCTTCGTGTGTTGGATATCAAAGAGTGCACAAATCTCAGCACGTTACCTGATGATCTACAAACTCTTCAGTCTCTTGCAATGCTGTGGATATCTAGATGTCCAAAAATTACGTCAATCCCAAGCTTGGAAGGCCTGACGACTTTGGAAGAACTGAGAATCAGCTACTGTGACGAGTTGGCTTCTCTGCCAAATGAAATGCTTCTGTCCTGCATGTCTCTGAAGTCTTTGAGCATAGAAAACTGTGTTAATTTAACCTCCTTTCCTAATTTGCAACAGTTGAATTCCCTTTTATCCTTGAGAATTGTTGATTGCCCACAGCTGACTTGTCTCCCCAAAGTGCTTCATTCTCTTTCTTGATTAAACTACTTAAGAATTGGTCCATTTTCAGAGGATCTCACTTCATTCCCGATTCTTGATTACGAAGACGCTCCTAACAGTGAGATACATGAGGAAAACTTTCAACTTTTCTCTCTTAGAAGTTTAACACTTTTTGGGCGACCTCATTGGGACTCTCTGCCTGCATGGCTTCAAAATCTTTCTTCTTTAGCAGAACTACATCTTTATGATTTTGGATTTGAAGCTGTGCCTGAATGGATAAAAAACATGTCTTCCCTAGAACGATTGGGCCTATACTGGTGTGAAAAAGTGAGTTTTCTTCCCTCCGTTGAAGCCACAAAATGCCTTGTCAAACTAAGAGAAGTGGAGATTTACAATTGCCCTTTATTGAGTGAAAGATGCTCTTCTTTGAGTGGCTCTAATTCTGAATGGTCTAAGATTTCACATATAAACCAAATCAAAGTTGATGGCAAACAAATCACATCCGAGGCTTCTTATGAAATGTTACCATCTCCAACTCTCACAAAAAAAGAAAAAAAACGGAGGAAGAAATAAGGTGAAGAGCAACAACTAGATGCAGATTTCCTTCTGTTTTTCCTCCTTTTGATAGATGATATCTGGTAATCTTTATATCTTTGGCTAATTTAATTAATTCCTACCTCCTGTTCATTTGAATCCCCAACTATGTATATGCTAATTCATATTCTTTCCATCTCTTGTGTTATTTAACTACTATATATTAAAAGTCTGATTCTGATACAATTTATCATGAAGAATAATTGATTTTACATTTGGAAAGGTCGTTCGTCTATTTACTTGTCAATGTTCCATAAAATTTTATCATAGACCTGAATTATTTTCTCAGGTAAACATTGAATATCATATTTGACATAAACTCATTAATGAAGCAGCTTATGCACTTCCAAAAGGAAAATGAAATAGCTAGAAACTACTTTTAATAAACGAAACCCTAATTTATCTAGCATCATGTTGGTGCATTACTTTATTCTAATCATAGGGAGGTTTAATTAACACTCCAAGCTAGTTTTCTTGTGGCCCTCAAGTTGCCAAATTAAACGATCCTCATCATGTTCCTTCACAGCATAGCAGAGGAACTTTAATTTTATCTTGTTTCAAAAAGTCTAAAGAGATTGAACTAAAAGCTGTCATTCAATGTAATGTAGTGTGAGGAAGCTATCAAAGATGACAGAAAATCTATGCTCAATGGGGTACGTAGGAATTGCAACTGGATCAGTTATGGAGATCCCAAGCTGGCAAGAAGTTGTTGGTTATGGTCCCTGGAGAAGTTCTCTTGGTTTCACTTCATGCTGTCAGTAAGTAACCAGTCGTCATCTTAGTAGACATTTGGACATAGATTTGAATGTCTAACCCTTTGTCAAATTTCACTCGCTTTAAGTTGGATGAATGAATGCTTCCAAAATTTAAAAATCTATCATAAATTAGCTTTCTGGAAAAACCTGCATGCACATAATTGTGCTCACTAGTTTTACATTTGCAGTTATCTCAGCCCTTCTGGTTTGAACAACATATTTATTAGAGCTAAACTGCTAGTGCAAAAGCATTCACAATTGCTAATACTTTAAATAGCTTCTGTTTCCAGGTACATGCATAACAGAATCAGAAGTGGTCAGTCCAAACACAGACACACAAGTATATATGGTCAACAAGTAATTAAGATGGGTGGGTAAGACATGTAGCGTAACAACTGTGTAACAGTAGCTAGCTTTCTTTCACCAATATGAAATTGTACTGTGATTCAATTACTTACTACTATATCTCTAATGACCTGAATAAAAGAGCTAAGTGAATATCAAGCTTGATAATCAATTTGCTGCGTGGAGTTTGACAACAAATGATAGGTTTATCATTCTTATTAACATCTCTTTATCTTAATAACTGAGAAATAAATCATGCGCTTTGTTATAATATTTTTTATACACATAAATATTAAAAACATCCTAAAAACTGACAGTTTTAAAAACACTCATCTACTTTATTAAGTAATTTAAAAATACTGCTCTTGTGTCACATGTCATCCACCCAAGCACATATGTGGAATTTTCTATTGATTTGGCATACACATAGATATACATAATAAAATAATACCTTAGTTTAGTTAAGGTGTGTCTCTGAGATTTAGGTCATAGTCTAGGGGATACTTGTACCTTTTCACATAATAAAACTTATATATATTCTTTTCACTTTAATTTTTTTAATTAATTTATTATGTTTTCAGTTTTAATTATTTTTAATAAATTATGTGTATTTTTTAAAAAAAAAACAATTTTACTTTTAATGTTTTTAATATTTTTATGTTTTATTTGATTTTCTTCACTTATTATGATATCCGTTCAAAATTAACTTATTTTAAATACAAGACATTTGAAATCAAATAAAAAAGAAAGACAAAGAAAATAAACTCAATAAAAAAATAAAAGAGAAAAAACAATGAATGTAAGTAAAAAAAAAAAGTTTCGATACAAGGTAAAAAAATTAGAATATTTTTTTTAAAAAATTAAAAAATTTGTTTTAATTTTTTTCTTAAAAAAATTAATTTTAAATTAAAAATAAAAAAAATATTTACACACATAGGGAGCGAGTGTGTACAAACACAACCAAGTTGGGTGGTTGAAGGTGTCACATCAGCACAAAAGGTGCACAAAAATATGAAAAAAAATGAGTTCAGGTGGGTAGTAAGATCATAGTTAAGTTTAGGTGTGTCTTTGGTATTTCGGGTATAGTCTAGGGCGTACTTATGCCTTATCCCTTTTAAAATTAACATTATTTTTTATCACCCCATCCCTCCCTATCCAGTACTCCAACCCCACACCTCACTACCCATCCACCCAAAAAAAATGGGATAAGAATTTTTTTTTATTTTAAAAGTAATTTTAATTTAATTACCACGGAGGGGGAGAGGGGTCGGGAGCTGGGGTGGGGGGAAGTCGAGATAGACAGTGGTGTGGAATAAGAATTTTTTTTAAAAACCCTTTTTTTTTAAATGGGGTGGGGGGTGGGGTTGGGGTACTGAGTAGGGGATGGGGTAGGGTAAGAAAAAGATTAATTCTTTTCGAAAAAGTTTTTCTCTTCTTTAATCGATAAATTTTAGCATTTAATTATTTTTTATTTTTTATTTTACTACATTATCTATATGTAAGTCACATTAGTAGAAAATTTCACATATACCCGTGGTTGGATGACATGTAGTATAAGAAGGTGTTTTTAAATTCTTTAATCAAGTAGAAGGGTGTTTTTAAGGCTATCATTAGTTGGGGGACTAAAGTAATAATTCACGCCAAGTTTAGAGATATTTTCAATATTTTTCTCTATTTTTTATGGAATAACTTTTTATTTATTCATTCTAATAAAATTTACTTTAAATGAATTAT